CATGCCACGAAGGCGAGGCAGGGAGGGGTGACCAAGGCGGTGGTGCCACAGGAGAGTCTGGTGCGACAGGCTGCGACACTCACACCGGGTAGCTACTTGAGGGGACGCGTACAGCTGAGGAGACAAAGGGGTGGAGCGCGACGCAGTGGTGAGGGTGTACAGACTGGACCCAAGCGCACGTGTGAACGTGGCCAGGTGGCGGCCGGTCCGAGAGCATGTGCAGATCGCCACACGCTGTCCTCCAGGAGTAAAGGTGTCAGCCCAGTGATCCTGAAGGACGGCGGTGCTCACCAGGTTCGTAGAGGACGAGGGGAGGTGGAGACCAGACAGCTCACCGGACGGGACCGCCGGACACGGAAGCACAGTAGTGGTCCGTGCTAGCACTGGGCCCCCAGAGGGGTCAGCCAGTGAGACAGGGACAGGTGCAGGGAGGGGAGTGACTGTGGTGCTATCGCGAAAAAAAATAGAGGGAAGCACAAGAGTCAAGTGTAAAGGTGCGCAAAGCCTGAGCGGACGCAGTACCAGGGAGAGCAGACTCGCTAGCACCTAGGGCTGCAGACTCTATACCTGGGTCAGGCGGCATACACAAGTAGCAGTCACCCTTAGCACTAACAGTCAATGCATATATGGCAGCAAGAATTGCATCATAGTCAAGATCAAAGATAGGAACACCACGCCTAGATAGGTCTACCCAGTGGGGAAACTCAGTAGCCTCGGGAAACTTGGCGCGCCATGCATCGCTAAGCCTAGAGAAGCAGCGATACTCAGTGTGAGAACCGTTGCATGGGCGACCAGCGCGGGGGCCTGTGCGAATGATATAGGGGCAGCGAACAGGACCCCCATACGCCCCACGCTGAGCATACCAGTCATGAAGCTGCTGAGGGGAGGGGGTCTGCTACTGACGCTGCTGCTGCTGCTGCTGCTGCTGCTGTGGTGGCTGCTGCTGCTGCTGCTGCTGTCCCTGGCCACCAGTGGAGCTGCCCTTCTAGCCGGATCCACTCCAGCCCCCACCGCCGCTGCCACCACCGCTCCCTCCTCCCCCACTACCGCCGCTGCCACCCCCACCGCTCCCAGTGCCCGCGCCGCCCCCACCACCACCTCCACCCCCACGACCACCCCCACCACCTCCACCTCCCCCGCCGCCTCCACCACCGCCCCCTCCACCGCCACCCCCACCCCCTCTGCCACCCTTGCCGCCCCTGGCACTGCGGCGCTTCCCACTAGGAGCGGAAGCAGCCCCAACCTCCTCAGCACCAAGGTAGTCGAGAGAAGCAGCAGCGGAGGCGTAGGAGGGGGCAAGAGGGAAGGAGGAGCACCCCTCAAAGAGGGGAGTGCGAGGAGTTCTACGAGCAGCACCTACAGCGAGAATGTTATTTTCTGCTGCTAGGAGGTGCTTCTCGAAGTCGTCGACAGTGAGAGTGGTAGGGTCTAGCGCGAGAAAGTGGTCCCTGACGGAGCGAAGAGTGTCAGGGAGGCGGGTGACTAAGAAGTAGAGAGTAAAGTACATTGGGGGTTGATTCTGGGCGAGGAACTCGTCTGAGAGGGCAGTACGAAAGCGAGCGTCGCTAGTGCGCAGGTGAGAAATGAGGTCCTCAGCAGTGGTGAACGAGGACAGGTCGGGGAGCAGGTAGGGTAGCATAAGGCAACCTAGGGCTGCAATGGCCGGGGAAGAGCAGCGGGCAACTACAGCGTCGTACAATGCCTTGGCAGTCTTGTGCTGGCTAAAATGCGCGCGCTCTGTGATCGGCAGATGGTTGCGAATAGCGAGGCGCACAGCAGCATCGCGGGTCTGCCACTGTGAGCGGTCAAGAGCAGGAGCAGTGCCAGTAGGAGCAACGGCAGTCCAGACGCGTAATCGAACAGTGAAACACCGTCCTTGGCATCAGTCAGAAGAAACAGTTGCAGGTCGTCGAGCCAGGTGGTAAACTCTATCGGGCGACCGTCAGGATCGAAAGCAAGAACGTTAAGCGTCGCCATGATTGCAGTGCAGACAAAAGTAGCGCGCAAGCGACAAAGCAGAGTGCAAGCCAGGAGAAACTGCGTGCAAGGCTGCAGTGGCGGTGCACGAGCTGCTGGGGCGGCGCGCAAGTGGCTAGGGCGGCGCACGGGGCAGCAGCGGGCCGCACGCAGGCTCCTAAGGCGGCGCACGGGGCAGTCGCGGGCCGCGCGCTGGCCCCTAAGGCGGCGCGCGGGGCAGCAGCGAGCCGCGCGCGAGCTCCTAAGGCGGCGCGCGGTGCAACAGTGGGCCGCGCGCTGGCTCCTAAGGCGGCGCGCGGAGCAGCTGCGGGCTGCGCGACCGGCGGAGGCGACGCGCGGGGCAGCAGCGGGCTGCGCGCGGGCGGCGGACGCGACGCGCGGGGCAGCAGTGGGCTGCGCGGGCGGCAGACGCGGCGCGCGGGGCAGCAGTGAGCTGCGAGGGCTGCTAGAGTGGCGCGCGTGGGAAAATAAAGGCAGCGTGCGCGGGCAGCGCAGCGCAGACAAGGCAGGGCGCGCGCGTGAGGCGTAGCGCAGGCAAGACAGGCAAGGCAGGTGGGGCAGCGTGGTAACCGCAACGGTAGGTGGGCCCGAACTAAGACGGTCCTACGGACCTACTGCTCTGAAACCATGTCTGACATGCTAGGCAGGAACGAATGAACTAGGAAAGTATGAAACCCTGAAAGGGGCTGTACCCCATATTGGCTACCCCACTACAGCCTAAACATATATAGCATACATATAAATTTACAGTGTGGTTACTGGGCAGTCAAGGGTCACGACCGTTGACTGTCCTCGACTGTTGACCTTCGGTTGACCCTCGACCTTCCTCGTGCTCTATATGAGCTATTGCGGTACTGATACAGGCGCTTACTTCGTTATGAAGTGACGCGAGAATGGAGAGCCTTCGGGAATGCTTACGATAACCTTTCGGTTATTCCAAGATAAAAGATACCCCATCGTTATACAATTGCCCCTAACCCCTACACACCTTTAACTCGTACACACAAATAGGTGTCTTATAATAAGGCTATCCCGTCTATAAGAGACACCCAGATAATAGACACCCTCTTTCTTATATCCGGGTGATGACTCATGGAGGATCATTTTCCGTTTGAAGGTACTTTTTTATTTTAGGGTGAAGGCCACGTGGCATTATGGCGTCATGGCACCACCGCAATGTTGCACCATAAATAATGCAATTGTATGAAGCATTTTAAAATGCATACCACAAGAGTATATATTTTTGTGCCAGGCACCGAATAGAAACCCATGGAAGTCCAGACTGTCAACACCGTTGAAGGAATTGGCGGCTACCGTATTCTCCCGGACATAACACCTCCCCCCCCCCCTCCCCCCCCAGTATTTTGTCAGAATTACATTATTATAACTGCATGTAGATCTAGCAGTAATGTAGTTATCACATTTTCCTGTTTGGTGGTTTACCCCCTTTCCTCCCCTATTTGTACCCTTGACTCTATAGTGAAACCCCTTTTCCTTTCTCGACATCCTCCTCTCTCGTCACCTTCCTAGGTTCCTAACCTAGTCTACTTTCTGACATGGTATCAGAGCTGTAAGATCCTCAGGACCTATTTTTTTTAGGATCATGGGCCCACCCGTCGCGCAGCCCGTAATGCGCCTCGCGGGTCCCTCGAATCGCCCCGTGGACGACCCCCGCGGGTCCCGCGTTTCGCTCTCTGCAGGCCCCCCCGTTTCGCGCTCCGAAGGCCTGCTCGTCGCGCCCGTTGCGCCCTCCGCGTCGCGCCCGTTGCGCCCTCCGCGTCGCGCCCGTCCGCCCTGTCCGTCCGTCGCGCCGTTCGCGCCCTTCCCGTCCGTCGCGCCCCCGCTGCGCGCCGTCCCGTCCCTTCACGCGTCGCCTGCCCCGCCCCGTTCAGTCACGACCGCAACAGCAGCAGCGCGCAGCTGCGTACAACCGTGCGCACCCGCGCACGGTCGTGTGCGTCAGCGCCAGCGCCAGCGCCAGACGCCGCCGCCAGCGCCAGCGCCCATGCCCCCCCCCCCCCCCCCCCCCCCCCCCACTCGCCCTCTCCTTCCCTCTTCCTCTCTCCCTGCAGCACTTGGTGCTGTAGGGGGGGGGGGGGAGAGAGAGGTTAAGGGAGGGTAAGAGAGAGTGGCGGACGAAGCAGCCACACATATGCAACTGCCGCCCACTGCTACTGTGGCACCTACTTCTGCAGCCCCTGACGCCACTCTCTCTTCGTTCGTCTTTCTTTGCTGTTGAGTTGCAGGCGTTGCCGTTGAGCCCTGCGTTGCCGCCACCCTTTCTAGCCGCACGCACCTGCTCTCCAGGCTACCTGCGCCACATGCACCTTCTCTTTGTTTCTTTCTTGCCTCAGGGCTTACTGCAGCTGTCTCTGCCACTACTGCACTGGTTGTCATTGCTCTTGCGTGCTGTTGCTTTGAGTACACCTGCAGATTGTGATTTGCACTTTGCTATCCCTGCATGCAGTTAAGGGGGGATGTCAGAATTACATTATTATAACTGCATGTAGATCTAGCAGTAGTGTAGTTATCACATTTTCCTGTTTGGTGGTTCACCCCCTTTCCTCCCCTATTTGTACCCTTGACTCTATAGTGAAACCCCTTTTCCTTTCTCGACATCCTCCTCTCTCTTGTACCAATTTGCAGGCATGCCAGCACATCGTGACTGGACGCGCAGCCAGTCAGGTCTTCGCGAGTCAAACGAAGCGAAATTGAAATTTGACTTGCTGCGAGAATGAAATTCATTATAACAGATTTTTGAACTAAAAATGCACATGCGCTTTTTATAAGTCAAGGGTTTCTAGGGGGGGGGCGCTTATAATCGAGTTTCGGCCACAAGCGCCATGCTCCAGATAGAAGCGCCGGCGCCTTTAACCGGACGGCACATATATCCGGGGCCATACGGTATGTAGCTTTTTCCTATGAGAAGACACCCCCCATTTTTTTCCTGTATTTTTACATATACCCTAGGGTGTTATGTCCGGGAGAATACGGTACTTGTCCGCCGCAAAATCAAAACGAGTTCACACAACAGCGTGAATGAGGTCTATTGCTTCTTCCAAGCTTTGGTGTATCTTGAGTGCACTCTTCCTCTCCTCATCCTCGGCATCCACTTTAACTGCTGCGCGCACCTCCTCCTTCCCCCCCACTTCGTTCCTGACCGCCTGGAGCTCATTGGCAACATCTCCCATGGTCGGCCGGATTGCCGTGCGATCCACCGTGCAGCTGACTGCCAGTTGAGTGAGCCGCAGCAGCACCTCCTTTGGGGCGTCCATACCGGGGCTCTTCAGGCTCCCCAGATCCCCCTTTGACAGACACTCATCCACCTGAAGAGTACACGGTTGGAAGGGGCAGTTGGGAGTGAGTGAGTGAACATGAGGCACATGTGCGAATGAGGGGTGTGGCAAGTGGTTGATCAAGCCTTGAAAATGAGAGCAGGAAACCGGTGTTGGCGGCGGCAGCGGCAGCGGCAGCGGCGGCGGCGGTGGTGGTGCTTACCCAAGGTAGGACGTGCATGCTCCCCTTGGAAGTCTCAGCATTGTGAGTACGACCAGTGAGCACCACAAGGATGAGCACTCCAAAGCTGCGGATAGGGAGTCAAGGAGAGGGAGACAAGGAGAGGGAGACAAGGAGAGGGAGACAAGGAGAGGGAGACAAGGAGAGGGAGACAAGGAGAGGGAGACAAGGAGAGGGAGACAAGGAGAGGGAGACAAGGAGAGGGAGACAAGGAGAGGGAGAGACAAGGAGAGGGAGAGACAAGGAGAGGGAGACAAGGAGAGGGAGACAAGGAGAGGGAGACAAGGAGAGGGAGACGAGAGGGAGAGACAAGGAGAGGGAGACAAGGAGAGGGAGACAAGGAGAGGGAGACAAGGAGAGGGAGACAAGGAGAGGGAGAGACAAGGAGAGGGAGACAAGGAGAGGGAGAGATGTTACTGCCGTGCCGATGGCATGGTGAGGCATCACAACAAGGCTTGAGATCGTTTCAAGAAGTTCAGCATACCATCCTTGCAAACAGAGGAGATTCTACACTTAGAATGAATGAACCACCTCGATCTTATGGCAACCATGCTTCCTCTTTTTCTCTTCTTGTTTCCCTCTCAAGTGCGAAATGTGAGCCCGACGCGCATGTGCACGGACAGAACAAGCGGGGCCAATGCAATAAATAAAAAAAAGAACACAGAAATCATTTGACTTATATTTTGAACTTACGAAAAGCCTCTCATCCTCACTCAAGTACCTATACACATCAGTGGCCGTGGTTGCCTTATTTGTCCTAGAGTATACAGGGTCCACATAGCCCGGTGTTCCCATCACTCGAGTAGAACCCACTGTCGTGCCCTCTCCCACCCTCACCAATCTGAAATCCGCAACCTTGGCCTGATGAGTTGAGAGTTCAACAAGTTGAAATAGGTAGAACACAACCAGATTGGATGGGGGGGTGCAACATCCTGCAGAGCACATACCAAAGGGAGTTGATTGTACATCTAAAACATTAAAAAGCAAAGTACTATGTATGTGCACATATCAGAAGGCGATTCATCCCAATTTTCAATATCAGAGTGTTTGGATTCATAGGGTAGGACCTGGACAGCTGAAAGTTGTTTGTTTGTTTTGACAAAAAAAAAAACGATTTATCAAAACGTTATTTGTTTGTTGTGGCGAGCTTGCCTGCATGTCAGCACCGATGAGGATATTGGCGGGTTTGACGTCGCGATGCACGAAGCCAAAGCTGTGGAGATACTCCAAGCCACGCGCCGCCCCGATGAGGATACCCAGCCGCTGTGGCAGGGTCAAAACGAAGGGTGCCTCTGCAGGGGGGAGGAAGCATTGGGGGGACAGCATTGGGGACACGACATTTCGAAGACTATATCGTGCTGAAGGCTAAGTTGGGGTACGGTTGTAACAAGTCGCAAAACCAATCTACCTCTGGTCAACCTACCTCTGGTCAACCTACCTCTGGTCAACCTACCTCTGGTCAATCTACCTCTGTTCAACCTACCTCTGGTCAATCTAGCTTTGAACCCACTCATTTGTTTCCAACGTATGTATCTTTGAGCACACTGGGGCTATATATCAATTCAGATTCTTCCACCACCAAGCACAGACCATGAGGGACAACGCATGAGGCACACCGTTACGTCGTGTGCAAGGAGAAGCACGAGGGCATTGAGTGTAGACATACTTGTTGGATCCAGCCACTTCTCGAGGTCACCGTTGGGCACAAACTCATAGATGAGAACTTGCTCTGGCCGCGTCCTCATGTCGCCTCCCACTGCAAACCCAAGCAGCCACACGATGTTGGGATGGTTCTTATCGGCCATTTGCTGGACCTGAGGGGCGTTGAAAGGAGCATACAACACAACAATGGGCATCTTAAGCGTATCACAAGGTTCCAGCAGCACCGCACATCAACGCTGGACCTGAGTGTGAAAACGAACGTATTGCACAGATCAACATTGGAAAGCGAAACAGATAACAAGTATGCACTGCACTGCAGCACCGAGCAAACGCTGATAGGGGTTCGAGAAGCGAAACGATTACACCACTTCTTTGGTGTGACACGTATGCACGATTACACCACTTCTTTGGTGTGACACGTATGCACGATTACACCACTTCTTTGGTGTGACACGTATGCACGATTACACCACTTCTTTGGTGTGACACGTATGCACGATTACACCACTTCTTTGGTGTGACACGTATGCACGATTACACCACTTCTTTGGTGTGACACGTATGCACGATTACACCACTTCTTTGGTGTGACACGTATGCACGATTACACCACTTCTTTGGTGTGACACGTATGCACGATTACACCACTTCTTTGGTGTGACACGTATGCACGATTACACCACTTCTTTGGTGTGACACGTATGCACGATTACACCACTTCTTTGGTGTGACACGTATGCACGATTACACCACTTCTTTGGTGTGACACGTATGCACGATTACACCACTTCTTTGGTGTGACACGTATGCACGATTACACCACTTCTTTGGTGTGACACGTATGCACGATTACACCACTTCTTTGGTGTGACACGTATGCACGATTACACCACTTCTTTGGTGTGACACGTATGCACGATTACACCACTTCTTTGGTGTGACACGTATGCACGATTACACCACTTCTTTGGTGTGACACGTATGCACGATTACACCACTTCTTTGGTGTGACACGTATGCACGATTACACCACTTCTTTGGTGTGACACGTATGCACGATTACACCACTTCTTTGGTGTGACACGTATGCACGATTACACCACTTCTTTGGTGTGACACGTATGCACGATTACACCACTTCTTTGGTGTGACACGTATGCACGATTACACCACTTCTTTGGTGTGACACGTATGCACGATTACACCACTTCTTTGGTGTGACACGTATGCACGATTACACCACTTCTTTGGTGTGACACGTATGCACGATTACACCACTTCTTTGGTGTGACACGTATGCACGATTACACCACTTCTTTGGTGTGACACGTATGCACGATTACACCACTTCTTTGGTGTGACACGTATGCACGATTACACCACTTCTTTGGTGTGACACGTATGCACGATTACACCACTTCTTTGGTGTGACACGTATGCACGATTACACCACTTCTTTGGTGTGACACGTATGCACGATTACACCACTTCTTTGGTGTGACACGTATGCACGATTACACCACTTCTTTGGTGTGACACGTATGCACGATTACACCACTTCTTTGGTGTGACACGTATGCACGATTACACCACTTCTTTGGTGTGACACGTATGCACGATTACACCACTTCTTTGGTGTGACACGTATGCACGATTACACCACTTCTTTGGTGTGACACGTATGCACGATTACACCACTTCTTTGGTGTGACACGTATGCACGATTACACCACTTCTTTGGTGTGACACGTATGCACGATTACACCACTTCTTTGGTGTGACACGTATGCACGATTACACCACTTCTTTGGTGTGACACGTATGCACGATTACACCACTTCTTTGGTGTGACACGTATGCACGATTACACCACTTCTTTGGTGTGACACGTATGCACGATTACACCACTTCTTTGGTGTGACACGTATGCACGATTACACCACTTCTTTGGTGTGACACGTATGCACGATTACACCACTTCTTTGGTGTGACACGTATGCACGATTACACCACTTCTTTGGTGTGACACGTATGCACGATTACACCACTTCTTTGGTGTGACACGTATGCACGATTACACCACTTCTTTGGTGTGACACGTATGCACGATTACACCACTTCTTTGGTGTGACACGTATGCACGATTACACCACTTCTTTGGTGTGACACGTATGCACGATTACACCACTTCTTTGGTGTGACACGTATGCACGATTACACCACTTCTTTGGTGTGACACGTATGCACGATTACACCACTTCTTTGGTGTGACACGTATGCACGATTACACCACTTCTTTGGTGTGACACGTATGCACGATTACACCACTTCTTTGGTGTGACACGTATGCACGATTACACCACTTCTTTGGTGTGACACGTATGCACGATTACACCACTTCTTTGGTGTGACACGTATGCACGATTACACCACTTCTTTGGTGTGACACGTATGCACGATTACACCACTTCTTTGGTGTGACACGTATGCACGATTACACCACTTCTTTGGTGTGACACGTATGCACGATTACACCACTTCTTTGGTGTGACACGTATGCACGATTACACCACTTCTTTGGTGTGACACGTATGCACGATTACACCACTTCTTTGGTGTGACACGTATGCACGATTACACCACTTCTTTGGTGTGACACGTATGCACGATTACACCACTTCTTTGGTGTGACACGTATGCACGATTACACCACTTCTTTGGTGTGACACGTATGCACGATTACACCACTTCTTTGGTGTGACACGTATGCACGATTACACCACTTCTTTGGTGTGACACGTATGCACGATTACACCACTTCTTTGGTGTGACACGTATGCACGATTACACCACTTCTTTGGTGTGACACGTATGCACGATTACACCACTTCTTTGGTGTGACACGTATGCACGATTACACCACTTCTTTGGTGTGACACGTATGCACGATTACACCACTTCTTTGGTGTGACACGTATGCACGATTACACCACTTCTTTGGTGTGACACGTATGCACGATTACACCACTTCTTTGGTGTGACACGTATGCACGATTACACCACTTCTTTGGTGTGACACGTATGCACGATTACACCACTTCTTTGGTGTGACACGTATGCACGATTACACCACTTCTTTGGTGTGACACGTATGCACGATTACACCACTTCTTTGGTGTGACACGTATGCACGATTACACCACTTCTTTGGTGTGACACGTATGCACGATTACACCACTTCTTTGGTGTGACACGTATGCACGATTACACCACTTCTTTGGTGTGACACGTATGCACGATTACACCACTTCTTTGGTGTGACACGTATGCACGATTACACCACTTCTTTGGTGTGACACGTATGCACGATTACACCACTTCTTTGGTGTGACACGTATGCACGATTACACCACTTCTTTGGTGTGACACGTATGCACGATTACACCACTTCTTTGGTGTGACACGTATGCACGATTACACCACTTCTTTGGTGTGACACGTATGCACGATTACACCACTTCTTTGGTGTGACACGTATGCACGATTACACCACTTCTTTGGTGTGACACGTATGCACGATTACACCACTTCTTTGGTGTGACACGTATGCACGATTACACCACTTCTTTGGTGTGACACGTATGCACGATTACACCACTTCTTTGGTGTGACACGTATGCACGATTACACCACTTCTTTGGTGTGACACGTATGCACGATTACACCACTTCTTTGGTGTGACACGTATGCACGATTACACCACTTCTTTGGTGTGACACGTATGCACGATTACACCACTTCTTTGGTGTGACACGTATGCACGATTACACCACTTCTTTGGTGTGACACGTATGCACGATTACACCACTTCTTTGGTGTGACACGTATGCACGATTACACCACTTCTTTGGTGTGACACGTATGCACGATTACACCACTTCTTTGGTGTGACACGTATGCACGATTACACCACTTCTTTGGTGTGACACGTATGCACGATTACACCACTTCTTTGGTGTGACACGTATGCACGATTACACCACTTCTTTGGTGTGACACGTATGCACGATTACACCACTTCTTTGGTGTGACACGTATGCACGATTACACCACTTCTTTGGTGTGACACGTATGCACGATTACACCACTTCTTTGGTGTGACACGTATGCACGATTACACCACTTCTTTGGTGTGACACGTATGCACGATTACACCACTTCTTTGGTGTGACACGTATGCACGATTACACCACTTCTTTGGTGTGACACGTATGCACGATTACACCACTTCTTTGGTGTGACACGTATGCACGATTACACCACTTCTTTGGTGTGACACGTATGCACGATTACACCACTTCTTTGGTGTGACACGTATGCACGATTACACCACTTCTTTGGTGTGACACGTATGCACGATTACACCACTTCTTTGGTGTGACACGTATGCACGATTACACCACTTCTTTGGTGTGACACGTATGCACGATTACACCACTTCTTTGGTGTGACACGTATGCACGATTACACCACTTCTTTGGTGTGACACGTATGCACGATTACACCACTTCTTTGGTGTGACACGTATGCACGATTACACCACTTCTTTGGTGTGACACGTATGCACGATTACACCACTTCTTTGGTGTGACACGTATGCACGATTACACCACTTCTTTGGTGTGACACGTATGCACGATTACACCACTTCTTTGGTGTGACACGTATGCACGATTACACCACTTCTTTGGTGTGACACGTATGCACGATTACACCACTTCTTTGGTGTGACACGTATGCACGATTACACCACTTCTTTGGTGTGACACGTATGCACGATTACACCACTTCTTTGGTGTGACACGTATGCACGATTACACCACTTCTTTGGTGTGACACGTATGCACGATTACACCACTTCTTTGGTGTGACACGTATGCACGATTACACCACTTCTTTGGTGTGACACGTATGCACGATTACACCACTTCTTTGGTGTGACACGTATGCACGATTACACCACTTCTTTGGTGTGACACGTATGCACGATTACACCACTTCTTTGGTGTGACACGTATGCACGATTACACCACTTCTTTGGTGTGACACGTATGCACGATTACACCACTTCTTTGGTGTGACACGTATGCAC